GGCTCCCATCTGCTCAACATTTGAAACCTCATGTTGACAGAAGGCAGTAGTGCCTTTTGTCCATTGGACGGACAGTTGGCAGGGCCAACTCCTGAGTGGTGATTGGGCAAGACGATAGCTTGCGACGCTGCCCAGAATGCGAGAAAATGACTGTTACATCACACCTTCATCCCACCATCTCTTCCGACGATGCTTGACCGGGGTGAGTGGAACTAGCAGTCAAGAATGTCTTCATGCCACTTCCATTGCCCATCACAGGTAACCTAGCAGTGCACTCGCCCTCTCTTCCGACCCACGTCTACTTTCTTGTTTGCGACTCACCCACCCAACTACTCACTCCATTGGCGACACAGTTCAGATAGGACACCACAAGGTGGCAGTGAACACACGTCACCCACTTGTCACACCGCAGTCATCTGGGGCAATGTACCAGACTCACTCATGCCACGTTGGAAGAGAAAGTGTTTACGAAAAGCGCTGTCAGTCTGTTGTTCCACTGAACAAACCCTCGTGTGGAGAGAAACAGGAAGGACCGAAAGGTGAACACTCAATAGGAACGGTGGTTGCTATGGCAAAAGCGAAGGAGAAGACACTTCCGTTTGCCACGAGTGACGTGCTTTCGAAAAGGAAGTCCATTGTGTGCGACGATGACAATGAAGTGGATGGAAAAAGGGGGGACGACGAGAAGCAGAGTTCCACCAGAGTAGTCATTTCCAGTGGTGGTGGTGGTGGTACCCAAATTGGCAGCTGGAGTCAGCATCAACATCAGCACAAGCAGCATCGGTGTTGTTTGAGCCCACCAAGTGACTGACTGCAAGCGTAGTCCATGACCCACTTCAAGGTCGCCACCGATTTAAATTACTAGGCTTCAGCTTAGGTCCTCTTCCATTGCGCCAACAGCAGTGAAGGTGGACTGTAAATATTAATGGTGGAATCAGTTGTCTACTCGCACACCACATAATTGGAAATGAGTCAGTGAACACCAGCAGAACAGGCGCTGTTTCACAACAACCTCTCGAAGTGGGAACAGCTGCTCTGCCTCACGAACATTGAGTGGGATGAGGTCAAACCAACCACGAATAAGTTATGACCTCTTGCCTGTGGGTGGGTGGGTGAGCGAGTGACTTTGTGCGTGCACCAAATTGACTTTTAAAGGCTCTCCTAAACATTTGGCCAACAAAAGGGAGGCAGAGGTGGAGGTGCTCTGGTCGTCAGGCAAGGAGGTGAAATGCCACCCGCTGCCTCACTGCGATCAGCACCAACCACTGGATCGGAGTGTGATCATCACCCCTCACCCATGACCACATAGTCATCGTCAAATAGTGAAGTTGGAATGGAGTGTAGTGTGTCGACTCTACCTGCATCATGCCCCTGTCTCTAGG